TTCAGAGTTTTCTTCCGGATTTTGGAATGCTTGTATATACATACGGAGATATCTTGGGGCTGGGACCCCAGTTCAGACACAAAACTCGTTTTCCATAACAGCTTCTACACCCAGCCTAAGGAGAGTTTGTAAGATCATTTGCATAGGAAACAAAGTTTTAGGAAATGAACATTTTCCCTCCTAACATTATCTCAGCACCCAGAGGGTTTTAGACCTTACATTTTGGGGTTAGGGCTCTTCAACCTGTGTGTTACATTCTGTAGGCCACACAGTCATTACCCAACCCTTCCACTGCAGCAGCGCAGACGCAGCTGAAGATGACAGGTGAGTGGACGGAGGTGGCTGGTTTCCAATCAAACTTCACTTACAAACACTGACAGTGGACTGGGTTCAGCCCTGAAGCTATTGCTGGCCGATCCCGGGATGAAATTAGGGCCTAGCACAGCTTCTAGAGGAGGATACGTAGTAATAAAAAGTATTTTCAATCTCCAACAAATAATCGTCAAGGACAGTAACACCAAACCATCACACTGACGTACATGCTGTGGGGAGGTAGAGTAAAACCCGGCATCCCTGGACTTACTTTGAAATCAGTATTTCTTAGAACACAAAGAATTTCAGGTATATCATCCTGCACAGAAATAATGTGTTTGTAGAAAAGGGATAATGTAACAGCAACTTTCACCCAAGGGAGCCACTGAATGCTCAATGCCTTTTGAGAGTCCGGGTGGGAGGGCCACAGAAATAGAGAGGAAGGATGCTTTGGTTGTGTCTGTGTTTGGGCTTGGCTAGTAACTGCAGGAGTGCTGAAGGGAGTTGTCTAAACTGACTTCAAGCCTTCAGGACTGTGAGACCAGGAGAGAAGCCAGCGGCAGCAACAAGAGACATAGGTGTGGACAGTGAGTAAGAGGCGCACACAGGGACATCGCAGAGATGGCTGCACATTTTGGTTTCCTGATTTCGATCCAGTTATTGGGAGTGAAACTGTTCCCCTTTCGGAAGGTGACAAGTCACACGACCGTGGAAGTATCACAAGGAAGCAAGTACTGCAGCATCCCAATTCTTTGGGACGTATGATTAAGAAATGTTTCTTTATTTTTTTAGCCCATAGGAGATTTCTAGAATTCCTACCAGTCTCTCGTGACAGGGAAAAGAACTTTGTGGCGATTAAACAGCAGCTATTTTGCTGCGCAGAGAGATAAACAGATGGCGCGCCCCTCTGGCACACTCAGAAGGAAGACTAACGTGTCTGCCTTGAAGCCACATTCATCCTCGTGGGAGGGGCAGGCAGCCGAAGACCCCATTTAGGACCGGCAGACATGCCCAGGTTGGGGTTGCTGCATGCAGGTGGCCGCATGGCCTCGGGCAGACCTTGCTCCCTTGTTGGGCTTGCGCTGCCTCACTTGTAAAATCAGCTTCTGACTTAAAAGCCAAGATGACTTCCAGCTCCAATGTGCTTGGGCTGGTATTCTCGGCCCTCAGAATCCCAGGTTCTTAAAAATCTGATTTGCCTGTCCACCGCAACGTTGCATTATCAGACTCAGCATGGGTGCTCTGAATCACAAGTACTACCTGGCCAAGCACCACCCTCACAGACTGCATGCCCTGTGGGACCAGATTGTCCCCCATGTCCCCTGTACCTCCCAAATTTGTGCACTCCACCAGTGTTTATTAAGCGATAGAGGAGGAGCGGGCACCTTGCTATGGGTCCTAGTGTGGATATGGACTGTTTATTTGGCTCCAGGGAGACAATGAATGCCATCTCTCTGTGACACCAGCTGTCCCCAGTGGAGATATGAATGCCAGCAAAGCCTGACTTCACCATGGCAGCCTCACTCGGGATAGACCCACTGGGGACCGAGTCCTGCCACCCCCTAAATGACCAGGCTTCCCATGCTGCTGTCCCTGTCTGCAAGGCATGCTGGTCAAAGCAGGCAGAGATCAAGGCCAGCTTCCTCCAGAGAGGCAGACAGGGACCAGGAACATCTCACAACAAGGAATATTCCACATAACGGAAACCTCTTCCAGTTCTTCACCAGGAAGCAGGCTGCACCTCCAGAGAGGAGACCAAGAGCAAAAGTGGCTCCTTCCATAGACAGCGACATGAAGATGGCTCTGCTCCAGCTGTCACAGGCAGAGGACTGGGGTCCCTCTGCCCACACAAGGAGTCAAAGGTCACCCAGTGATCTATTTTTAGCTGTTTTTGTACCAAACTCAGAAAACTTTTGGACACTGGGCTCATCCCCAAGGTGCAAAGAGTAATAAACAGGAACTAAAGTGCCACATTCTCCCCTGATGAGTCTACCTGATAGGGCAGGGTTGCTTGGTGTCCCCACACTGTCACATGTGACCCACGGAGCCTGTGAAGAGCTGGGGAGCTGGGGTGCCTGGCTCTCATTCCTGGCCTGGCACTAACTTGCTGTGTGACCTTGGCCAAGTCCCTGCCCCTCTCTGAGCCTCAGTTTCTTCACACTTGAATAATGGTAAAGAGGAACTGGAGGTTTCTAAGGATTTGTACACCCCCAAACCCACATCTCATCCTAGAAGCCGACCCAGGCTCCGGGCACAAGACATATGAACAACCTGTGACAACCAATCTTCTGGAGGATGCCTGATTGGCTCATCGGCTTTCAGCACTGCCCTTCAAAGGTCAATTTAGATTGATCTGTAACCCACCACTGAGCACCTGCTATGTGCTGAGAGATCTCAATCACCACCTCTTCATAACCAGTCATCAGAAACCACTGTCCCCAAGCCACAGATGACAGGCACGGTGCACCTATCCAGAACGAGGGCCATGTGGCCACCAACACTTGAATTTCACCCACTTCCACTTCCTACTGGAGGGTCCTTGAGCAAGTCACTCCCCCAGCGTTGGTTGCTCAATGTACAGCAGGGACACTGGGGGCTGCTGTCTCACGGGGCGGGTCCAAAGCCTGAGAAGAACAGGAATTGAAGCCCAGAGGAAGCCCATGGTGACTATGAACCATGGACCTGGGGTCTACACTACCACTGCTGCAGACCTCCCCGCCTCCACCGAGAAGACAAAAGGAGGCTACGCAGTTGTGTGCACGGACGCTGCTCTCAACATGCATTCTATGCACCAGGGGAAGCACAAGGGTCAGCAATGAGGCGCAGAGTCACTATAACCATGGCCAGGCTGCCCCTTAGCTTCCAGGTCTCCATCCAGAAAGCAGGGCAGTCAGTGGAGTTGATGAAAAGCCCTAGCACAGCACCCGGCTCAGCAGGCCATGGATAATGGTTCATGCCCGCCTGGCCGCAAACTACTTTGTGAGTGAATTCATTTTATCTTTATAACAAGAGGTTTTAAAACTCACAGTACTCTCAGTACTCACCACATGTCACACACTCTGCTGAACCCTGAACACAAGCCCTGCACTGCACGCCCAGCCTCCCCACAAGGCAGTGCACTCATCATCTCACTTCACAGAGCGCAATTCACTGAAGTGCCAAGGTCATGGCTAGGAATGGCAGACTGGGGCTCAGAATCCTGATCCCAGACCCCAGTTCCTACCCCTTCTTTGGCAGGAAGAGACGGTGCAGATGGGGTGAGAAGTCCCATAGATCCAACCTGTAGTCTATCATAATGCAGCAACTTTGTACTTTGGAGAAGAGAAAAACCCAGTTGTCTTTATGATGCCAACTAGAGAAAGCAAGGATGAGTATGGTCCCCATGGCTGAAGGGACACAAATGTCCACTTCCACTTACTCTGGCCCCTGGCACCTTCACAGCTGTCTTTTAGTACACCCTTAGCTCCTTTATATCACACAGCTACCTTGTGCTATCTCTACTGGGCTCTCCTGCCCCGCCTGCTGCAGGTTAGCCACCTCCAGTGCACATGCCATCCCCATGATCCTCTTGTTTCCAGAGCTTTCTCTCCACCACCTGCCCCAGTCAAGAACTTAGAACACTGCTTATGGGAAACTTCCTGTCACAACCAGACAGGCAAAGGGGGACATGGTCATTTCCCCCTCTTGCATAAGGAAAAACTAAGTGGACAAGAAGAGGAAACTCTTAGCACTGACACTCAGCCATGGGATGGGGTGACAGCGATTGGTGGGGTCTGTGGCCAACCAGAACACCCCAGAAAGAGGTGGCTGTTGTTCAGCTCAACCACATGCAGCCCTGTGGGTTTGCAGGTCGGACACAGCCCAATCTTATTTGCCAAGGGCTTCCAGGATCAGATTTCTACTTTCTACATGGAATACCCTCATTTCCACATGTTGGCAACCCCCTTCTAAAAGTAAAACTCATAAGTGAGCTGGACTTGGCCGTGAGCATCACATTTCTAACTCTGTGTTGATCCTTATAGCACATGACACACTCACTACCAAAGTCCTCATGCTTCCCCATGCTTCCCAGCTGCCCCGGGGCCCAGTGTCAGGTTCTGACCCAAGGCCTGTGCATGGAAGAGCCAGGAGCTGGCTGCCTTCTTCCATGTCTCTGCCCCAGCCAGGTGGCAGCTCTGGAGTGCAGCCGGGGCAGGTGACACAGTGAGGCTGCAAGACAGAGACAGTTGCTCTTCCCTCCACAGACTTCAGGAGAGGGAGGAGGGTGTTCTGAGATGCAGGACCTGCGAGGGGAGATAGCCAGCGTTCCCCACCCGGCACACAGCTCACTGACCTATGGGTCACTGCAAACTCTAGCACTGCCCAGTTTTCAATGTACTTTAACCCCCTGTGCAATTCTGAACTGATTCTATGAGGCAGGCTAAGTAAGGCTTTGTCATTTCACAGGTGAGCAAACTGAGGCTCAGCAGGTAAAGGAATATCCCTAAGGTGTGTAACGGATATGCACTAGACTTATGGCTCACTCTGTGCTCCTGAGTGAACTCCCTGTCCAGTGCTCATCCTACCTGCCAACTTCTGAGCCAGGCTTTACAACATAGCTGCTAAGCACGCTCCAGTCGCCTGAGCTGGCACAGGGACAATCATGCTTCTCCTGCCCCTGCGTAGCTGCTCCAAGATTGACCTCTCACCTTTCCCGTCGACTTGGTGCCCTTCCAGATGCAGAAGTAGCAGATGGTCCAGGCTGCCAGGAGACATAAGGCCAGCTCCCAGCGGAGGTTCCCGATGTGCTCGATCCCATCAGAGATGGCCAGGACGCGGCGCCTGCAGAAGAGTGTGGAGAGTCACGTGGCTGGGGTGGCCCACTGAGGCCACCTGTGGCAAGATCGGTGCTGCAGAGGAGGGACAGCCCCCCGCCACTTGCCCACCCCCACCACTCGTCAGGCACGTTCTCTGCACCAAACACTGTGGAGGGCACAGCGCCTCTGAGGGGGAAGGCACCACCCAGCCCCTGTGGATCTACTCTCTCGGGGGAGGTGAGACAGGGTGCAGGTGTAATCCACAGGGCTCAGGGAAGGCCAGAAACACCCCACTCAAGGTACCTGCCAGGCTGCAGTGACGTCTGTGACCATCTCATGTCCCCAAGGGGGTGCTTGACATCTCGGCCCTGCTGAATTCACAGTGGACACAGGACTTGCTTTAGCCACTGTTTGGCCCGCAATGGGACATGTGCCACCTCAGACAGAGGCTTCCAGAGCAGAGGGCCTCGTTCCCTGCTGCCCTTTCCCTACCTCTGTTGTCATTAAGGAGGCTGGTTTCAACATGAGCCTCCTCTGCCCCAAGCCAGGGATGGAGTGTAAGCAAGAAATAAACTTCGCTGCTCTGAGCTACCGAGATTGCTGGGGTACTTCTTACTGCAGCATAACCTAACCCATCCTGACTGCGACAGGGTGTCCAGGAAAGCTTCCTAGCAGTAGAAATATGCGAACCACACTTTGAAAGATGAGCGGGCTGAGCCAGGGAGAGGAAGCAGAGATTGTTCCAGGTTGAGGGAGATGCAGCACTTGGGACACAGTGGGCTGGGGGACAGGGGCCAGAGGGAACAGCAAGAAGGGTAGTCGGTGGTGGCACACAGGGAGGCTTGGCTGTCACACCGAGGGGCAGAGCCCAATAGGGCAAACGCAGGGAGGCACAGCCTTCCTGTGGGCCCATCTTTTCCACACAGCCAGTGCAGGCCTGGCTCCCAGAGCCCATGCTGGGGCCTCTTTTCTTTAAAGTCAAACTCGCCGTACTCCATACTGTGCAGAGCCATGGCACCAACACAAACCCCTCCAAAACCCCTCTGGACTGCCAAAGCACCCCCATCCCCGCCTGTGCCAGTCGCCCAGCACTGCAAGAGCCTCCTCTGGAAAGAGCTCCCACCCCACCAAGCATGAAAGCCACCCTCAGTGTCTGTCTCCCTGGGAATCCACTTGGGCCTGACTCTGCATTAATTACTCACTGACCCCAATTAGCACTGGTCGGCAGGCTCCCTCTGGCCCCAAACCCTGCTGGAGAAATCAGGCAGGCCCCCAAAGAAAATCAGACTGTGGGCGGCCACGGAGCTGCTCGAAAGGCAACCAGCCCAGACTCAGAGCCAGAAGAGGGAGCAGCACCTACTACGAGCCAGGCGCTAGGTTGGACGGCAAGGAGAGAAGGTGAAGCCTGGTGGGGTCTCACGCTCTTCTAGGATAAGGGGGCAGAAAAGATGCCCCAGCGATTTGGGAGGAAAGAGGGCAGCCACTCAGTCACAACAGCTATTACTGGACTTGTGTCTCAGGTCTTAGTCTCAGCTTAAATCTGTTTTAAAACCTCAGGGCTTATTAAAGGAAACCTTGGAGCTGGGGATATAGCTCAGTGGCACAAGCGCCTGCCTGGCAAGGGCAAGGTCCTGAGTTTGATTCCCAGTACAAAAAAAAAAAAAACAGGAAACCTTTAGGAGAATCTACTACAGCTGTTATTGTAACAGAGTAGTGTGAACCAGAGCAGGATCCTGGGGGTGCTTGCCAGAAACAGAAACATGCCCAAGCCTGAATCCCGATTTGTGCAGAAACACTCCAGTTAGCTGCATTCTGCCACGACCCTCCAAGGATTTCCCATGCACAGAAAAGTCTGAGCACCACAGAGGCACATTTCCTGGCCACCAAGGAGTAAGTACAAATGGCAGGTGAGTCATTTTTAATCTTTAGTTTTCCTTCTTGCAGGGAATGTGGGGAAGAGGTCTCCACTTCCTCCTTCTTCTGGTTCAGTTCCACTGATCCTCCAAGGGTTAGCTCACATCACTCATTCTAGGAAGCTTTTCCAGCCCCCCGTAGCAGTCAGGACAGGCTGGGTTAGGATGCAATAATGAGTGTCTCCACTCGTTATTCTCAGTAGCAGAATGCAACACTCTTGGTGATGATACGTGGATCTTTTGAGAAGTCACTGCACAGATGGACTTTCTCCCTAGGAATAGTTACTCTCAAAGTTCTGCAGGGAATTTCAGGGTGCCCATCGTCTCTGTTGTCCAGATTAGGACCTCACGGCTGACAGATACCTACTGCCTTCTCAGCTGCCACCCAACACATCCCCAGTGACAACCCGACAAATGATGAGTGAGAAGGGTTAGCCCAGAGCAAAAATAAGCTGGTTGCTGCAGACAAAAATAACCCCAGAGTCCCCTCAGCCTGCTCAACCTAGACTAGGGCTCATCACAAAAGAAACTATCAAACACAGGACCCCAGCTAGCAGGGCACCCACCACACAAACACACGCGTGCCTTCTTGTTGATGTGGCTGTCCTCTGAACCAGAGGCCCAACAGCTAAAACTACATGGGGACTCGGGGGGAAGAAATAGGCAGACCCTCCTCACCCCAGGCAGGCTGGCTCCTCCCATCTCCCCCACTTTCAGGATGCCATGATCTTTGGAGCTGGCAGCCTGCTCAATTCCACTCTTGCTTCAGTAAGCAACCTCATTCCCAGAAGGGGAAGCAGGGGCCTGAAAGGTATGGAGGAAGGATTCACTGACGCCGATTTTGACTAGGAAAGGAACCCAGGTTTCTAGAGAAGAGGGTCTTGGCAGGTAGCTTCTCAGCCCACTGGGCTGTGGGGTGGACTTGAAACCTCTGGGGTGGTCTGTGAGAGTGTGGGGGCTGAGGCTTTCCACTCCAGAGACTCGGGAAGACACAGCTCTTCCTGGGAAAAGCTGCCTTAAGGACCCTCACCAACAAAGTGCCGGGACAGAAGGCAAGTCTGAATAAGGAAGCCTACTGCCCACACACTGGCCGGCAAGGGTCCAGGAAGGGACCTCCTGAGACTATCCAGGAAGTGGGAAAGGCTGAACACTAGCTGAGGCTCTCAGGGAGATCCATGTGTGTGAGTCATGTTTATTGGCCACCTACTATGTGTCAATGCACCTACTACATGCACTCTTCATGATACACCCTTTCAAGCCACAGTAGCACATTCCTGCAGATTTGCACCCAGAGCTCAGAGGCACTGTCCTCAGCCCTTGGCACAGACAGAGATGGGCTGGGCTCAAATCCCAGCTCTTGCCAGTGGCTTCAACTTGGGTAGGTGCTGTCACCTGGCCAGATCTCAGCTTCCTCTCTGTACATGGGAAAATGATGCCTCCCTTCAGTGGCTGTTTAAACATGAATGCACCTAAACCACAATCCTTGTCGCCATGTGAAGGATGGGGAAAGTGAGGTGTACACAGGTTCAGGAACTTCCTCAAAGTCACAGCAAGCTCCAGACCCTGGATCAGGGCCTGGGGTCCTCCTGGCTGCAGGGCCCACACTTTCAGCCTGAGCCATCACCAGCTCTGGGCTTCCTCCACAACCCTGAACTACCCACTGATCTCTTTTCTTCTTTACAGACTAAGGCTGTGGTAAATGCACAGCCTGAAGCCTTCTCCTGTATCTTTGCGTAGCAGGTAAAAAGGAGGGCATAGCACCTGTCTGTGACATACTGATTTATTCACATGAGACTTATTGAAGTGGTAGGCCGAGCACTCTGCCAGTCCTGGGGTCTGTAAGGAGCTGGCGGTCCCCTGGGAAAGGCAGACAAAGCAGAGTATGGAGAGGAGCGGTGGGGAAGCCCAAGGCAGAGCAGGGGCCCCCCTGGGGCCAGGACCAGATCACAGTGTGGGAGGCGGTGGTCCTGAAGGGAGGAGGGAAGTGAGCACAGAAAATGAAACACATTTGAGGGAATTCTTCCAGAGACTCACACGGTGAGGCTGGAGAGAGATCAGCGAGGTAGAGAAGGGTAAGGCGTGCACGACTGGTCAGTGCAGCAGAGCTGGGGCGAGGAGATGGGGGCCTGGCCGAGGGCTGGGGCTGCACCAGAGGGTCATGAGACCCCATCTGTGTCAGGACACTGTCAGGCTGGAACAGGAAGAATGGATGGTAAAAGTGAGAGGGGGCAGGGTGCTTGGTGGGTACACAGGGTTTTGCTGGCGATGAATGGAGAGGACAACGATGGTAGAAATGGGTGGATGGGTCTGAAGCCAGCAGAGGAGGAGGCGACCGCTCAGGGCGCTGAGCAGCAGGGAAGAACGGTGCTGGGCTGACACCTAGGTTCATACCATGGACATCTGGACAGATGAGGACAGCAGGTCTTTAGCTGAGCAGAGTGAAGTGGTGAGTGGGGTAGAGGAGAAAGTGACAAATGGCCACTGGTTCGTTCTTTAGGACAGATGATTCTCAGGTGCAGGTAGCAGGGCCAGGTTCCTGCAAAGCTCAGAAGAGAGGCAAAGAAGACCTTCCCACCTGAGCCCTCCACATCGTTCTGGGAGAAGGGAAAAAACAGCCTGCACTGGAGCCCTCAGAACCCCAGTATCTCAGGGGCAGAGAAAAGAAGGGAGGAGAGAGCAGGAGAGGACAGAGGCAGGGAGGGCCCTGGTGTGGAGCAGTGCTCAAAAGGCAAAGGGGGAGGGAACCTGGGCTGGGGAGAGAGGGGCGTGGCAAGGCCGGGAGAGGTGCTCAGTGGGTGGGCAGCCTGGGCGTGCAGCAGGGTGGGGAGGCCGAAGGGAGGCCGCTGCTACAGGAGTTCAGTTCTGGTGCGGGGAAAGTGGCGCAGCTAAGAGGACACAGGCCCAGCTACCTGTGTTTTCATGGGAAGGGGCCTAGAGGGAGGGAGAAGTGCCAGAGATGAGAGGAGATGGAGGGGAGAGAGGAGGAAAGGGGTAACAGCTCACGGCACAACAGGGAAAGAACCCAAGGGGAGGCTCCGAGGAGCCAGGGTGGAGACGTCCTTCCGGGAGCGCTGGGCAGGACAGGGCTGGAAAAACAAGAGGTGAGCCTCAA